CTACAAAATCGAGTTTCTTTACCTAGAAACCATGTTTGATTTTTAAACAACCAACTGGAAATGTGAATCTCTGAAGGAAAAAAACACATAACAACGCATTTAGAAAAATAAACATAAAACTGGCCAAATCTATTCTATAAATATTTGGAGAAGAGACTCTTTTTTTCTTGTTTGAATAGAACTGACCTAAAAAAATAGAAAATAAAACTTTTTTATGCAGTATTTATTTTCAAACAAGCTGCGCAAATCTATCATCGCAGGATGTCATAATCGAATGAGATAAAAGGCAGAGACGATGAACAGAGAGAAAGAGAGAATAAAACCCGAAAAACAGTCGGTTTTTTGGTTTGTTCTAAATAAATAAATCAAAAATGAAACGACGTTTATAATTTTTCCGCTTTGAGACGGTTTGAGGTTTCGAATATACTATATGTTTTACTCTAAAATGATGTATATATGATGATGTATTCAAAAAGCGATATCCGAGTCAAATAGCTCACACACAAACAAGAGAGGCTTGTTCGAGTTGCCAGAGAGATGGAGTCACATTGCGATCAAAACACACTGCAGCAACAACGGTAATTCAAAACGATCACGGAAACCGTTGTCAAACGACTATCATCTGGTTCAATAATAAGCTAAAGATATAGAGCTATATCTTTATGGCTTTCTTCCACTCTTTCTTCAGCACGCTTACACTCTCATAGGACAAACAATGTGTCCAACACCCGCCCAATACCGCGAGAGAGCAGGCGAGCGCATAAATTCATCAACCTACATGAGCTTGAAATGTTTTAGCAAGAGTGGTGATCTTTTGCCTTTTGCCGATGCATTAGCCGATTAAAACATTTAACGTTCAATTTTCAGTTTTACGCCCCACATTTCAAGTAATCCCGCATAAATTTCCGTATTTTTACATAGATAACCACAAAACATTCTATATTGACGAAAACATTACGAAAACATAATGGATTAAGATAAGGAAAGAAATGCTTTGAAAGTGGTTTGTTAACGGATCGAAACGGTGAACATGATTGAAAAATGGTTATTTTCATTCGATTCTGATCATGTGTTGGCTTTTTGCTTTGGCATTTCGAATAGTGTTCCAAAGTGCATGCAAAATCGAAAACAATCGATTGTGTGTCCCGATTCGATTCGGCTTGTTTTTAGCGTATCGTTGACTTTATTCAATTTTTTTTTCGTTCGATCGATTGAAAGTAGAAAATCGAAATCTCGACTTAGGAGCCTAATACGACTGCGATCGAGTGTGCAATAGGAACACGTGCGAAAACGAACCATCGCAATCACATAACCATAACCAGTCCTATTAAAGAAACGCTGATTTTTGTTTTCAATTAACCCGACAGAGTGTTCATCGCATAAATTGTAACGGATGAATGAGGTGATGAAGATGATCTTTTGACCCGTTTCACAATTTTTTCCTATTAATCTTGATGTTGGTTGCTGCTCGCTGACATCCGCTCCCTATTCCAATTCATCTCCACATGATGCGATTTAATCATGGTTTCGTGTCAAAAATGATCATTTTGGCTGTTAATTAGCATGAATTTTTTTCGGCAGAACTGCTGCTGCTGCTATGTCTGCTGGTTGGCTTAGCATCTCAAATTCCATAATTTTTTTTTTTCTGAAATGAATTTTGGTCTCGTTTTAGTTTTATCACCTTTGCACATATTTCACTGAGCAGCTAGACGGATGCTGAGCCGGCTCAGTGGCTCAAAAAAAAATTCAAATGAATCGAATTATTTATAGATTTCCAAGAAATTTAACGGAAGATAAAGCACATGCATCTGATCATAATTTTGCAAAGAGAGTTAAAGATGAAGAGAGAAGAAAAAAACGGCACATTTATTTCAAGACAAAATCCATTTAGATTTCCGCTTCGGTTCGTCACACGTCGCATTAAGAATTATGGGTGTCAACCATACAAATTAAGATTTGTTATTTTTACACGCTTAGCTGCTGAGCCATGCTCCTCGCTCATCGTGTGCACAGAAAGACAGCAGCAAATATTCAGCGCATGAAATTCCATTTGAATTGAGGCGAGTGCACGCAGACGAACGGAGCACACCTCGTTCCATTTTATTTAAAATTGTTGTTTTCTGTGTTCGTTTGTCTTCATCTCCCTAGCAAGAGATCATTTGAATAGTTTTGCATATATTTCGGATCGGTAATGCGATCGGTGAGCATTTAATGGATAAAATAAAATCACCTTCAAGCTATTTGGTGTTCGCGCGAGCGCTTGACAACAATAGAAAAAAAACCAGCGTGTAAGTATGTCTCTGATTGAGAGTTGCCTGCATTCTTGCGCGAAACATTGTTGTATTGAATCGTGTTCGGTTCTGTTGATTTTTTTTCTGTCATCGAAGAAAAAAAAATCCAAAAAATTCCAACCGAGATTAAAAAGCACTTCTTTTTCATATCTAATAAATAAATTAGCCGGCACATTTGAATTTGCCAATAAATCGCGAGCACACACACTATCACGCTTGCGACAAAGTTGTACTGAATTAGTCTGGTTAGCCAGCAACCGACAGCCAGCAGAACACTGCAAGCACAGCGTAGTGGCGGCAAAGCGTGCGCTCATGGATTAGCCTAATCGAAATATATGGTCTACATAACTTAATTTGTAGTTATCTCTATATTTACACATTCCAATTGCAAATAAATATATTTTAAACAACTAATTATTCGCTCATATAAATCTATGACATTCGCCGCAGCAACTATTTGCTTCGCGGTGTGCAGATTTTTCTTCATTCACTCTTCATAGTCGTTTCGCCCGCTAAATGCCCCATCTCCGTTACGCTCATTTAATTTCATTTAAATAAATTTCATCGGTTGCTCGCTCGCGTGCGCTCTCTATTCATCTTACAACTAATGAAACATTGGTTGGCGTTCCTTGTTTTGTAGTTCTAGCTTGCTTCTACCCAAATGATACACTCTCGTTACGATATGCCACTTCATTTTTTCGTGTGTTTGTTTGCGGTTGATTTTATGTGCTCGCACAAAATTTATTGCTGACTTATTGCCGATCATGTACCACATTAGAATAATGTGTGTACTGTGGATGGAAATGGGCATAGCGCGATCGCACAGTGCGCATTTGATAAATCAAAACCTAGAAGCATATATGATACAAATGAACGAGCCGTGCTTGTATACATGTATAAATCGAGCGTGTGTGCGCAGAGAGACCATAACAAACTGAACTGAACCGAACCAACATCTTTCTCGAGTTGAGTGAGTTTGTTGTTGTTGTTGTTGCAGGCCGAACATAAATTTGCAATTTGCAATTGAAATTCATCGGCACAACGATTAGCTCAGCATATAAATTTTATTTGTTGTCAATTTTATTTGTTTTTCGCGTGTGTTTTCTTGTTTGCATGCATTTATATTTGATTTGTCCGTTTTTTTTTCTCTCATTTCGTTCGTTCAATGTTTCATTGCTTTCGACACATTTTTTCCCCTGTTTTCTTCTGCTTTGTTGCAGGCTCTGCATGGAATGAGAGAGAGAGAGAGAGAGAGAGAGAGAGAGAGAGAGAGAGAGATAGAGAGCGAGAGAGAGAGGGAGATAGAGAGAGCGAGAGCGAGAACTGAATCAAAATGGAAATGTATGTCACAAACGGAGTACAAGCGATACGTCTCTATTCTTCACAATAAGCTAAATGTCAAATACGTTTATGATGTACAACTGGCAACGCAAAACTGCATTTGCAAACGGAATTACATTTCATGCGCAATCATTTTACTGTGTGCGCGCGCAGTGTTCGGTCTGCCTACCTTTTTATTTATCAATCATTCGTAACTGAACAATGAGAAAATTGAGCTAAATTCATTGGAAGTAAACAACTTGCCATTCAATTAAATACCAATTGCAATCAATCGTAGTTCTATTCATTCGGTTTCTAGCGATCACCGCAAAAAATTCCATCAATTTGACGTCACTTGCTTCGGGCACAAGCCAGCGAACTATGTTAATCCGTTTGCTGAACTTTTCAGCTTCAGTCAGTCTCAATCAGAATTGGTTAGTCATCGATTCCACCGAAAATAGAGCCGCAAACAATAACAGCAACAACATTGCTGGAAGCGGTTAGAAATTATACTGTTTACCTTTCGAGTGTGAAGCGAAACACTTTTGCTTGCTTTTGCCACTTGAAGGTAAACTTGAATTTGTATTTTTTTTTATTAGTGGAATGAATACGTATGACAAACGGTGAACAACGCTTGGGCTACGGTAGAGAACAGCTAAAAAAAAGTGTACAGTGTACACTAATCGGTTTTTGTGGATATTCACAACAGATTCATTAGAAATAGACGTAAATGGACTGTTTTCCCTCTCCTCGGTGCCCGGTTCGAATTGTTCATTTTTTGCAAATTGTAAAATGAAGTTGTTGTTTTCCAAACATGCAATGTCGTTTGCAACAAAATTCGTACTCATTTGGAGCAGATCTGAAATAACATTATGCTCGCGCGGTGTAACACCGACAGAGTTCGCTGCACGGAAATATGAGGCGATGTCGTTCGTGTGCCGCTTTTTGCTTCTGTTTCATTTTCGAAACCGTACAGATTAAACATATCGTTTAACATCGGCAAATATGGCGAACATAATCCATATCCGAACACAAACGACGACCAATTTTTTTTTGCAAACGAAATTTTTGCCACTGCTATGCTGTGCTGTTGATGGTGTTGACTTTCAGAACATTCAGTCCGAATCAATACATTGAAAATCGACCGATTCAATGCCCATGTACGGAATTGGCTTTGTGAATTCTTTCAAATGCATGCGACTTGTTACAACTCACTCTAATGCCAGCCCGGTGGTTGTTTCCATATTTGCGCGTTAAGTGTGTTTACACTGTAAATTATGCAAAAATGTTCTTTTGTTGATATTGACGTTGTATGTGTATTGTAGCTGTGTCAGCGTTTTGTTGGTTTTGAAAATGGTACCAAAAGATTTACTCTCGGTGAATTCGATTGTCCTGCGTCGCATTCGAACGAGTTTTGTACGAAAGGCCAATCGAAAACGTACGAATTTTCGACGTAAATTTGACAAGATCCGCTTATTTCAGTGTTCGTCACAAACATCACGTAGGCCAAGCTCTTCCGTTCACCATTCATTTCAAGTGGTTCTACGAGGAGTAGCGAGAATTTGATAAAAAAAATGCCAGACGTTTTGTGTTCAATTTGTTATGATTCACTTGTTCAAAAGGAAGACGATATTTTGATAACCGAGTGTGGTCATTTGTATCATAGCAAGTGCTTATCAAAGTGGCGGTAAGGATAAGTTTGAAACGTTGAATCGATTTCATCTGTCGAAATCATTCGCAATTCGTGTCAATTTCATTCGATTTTTTTTCTACAATTTTGCATGTCAATCACACGTTAGTCCCAAAGGTTGTGCTGAATGTCGCGCCGATATTTCCGTCACGAAGAAGGTATTTCTGTTCTATATGGATCTTGAATGTGCTGACATTCCAATTTCAGCTGACATTCTCATGAAAACCAACGCAAACCTCCTCGATCAACTGACGGAAAATGCGGAAGAAATGGAAAATCTGGTGGCGACATGTTCAGCACTTGAATTGCAAACATGTTCAATGCAAAAAGAGTGTGATGACAAAAGAGCGAAAATTCGAAGTATGGAAAAAGTAGTCGCTGCACGCAACAAAACCATCACATCAAAGGAACAAGACCTGCGATTGCTGCAATGCCAAGTGAAAGATCTCAAAACGGAAAATGGCGCGTTGAAAAAGAGCAACCACGAATTGGCAACGCAATTGAAAGATCAAAAGGCTGTCGAGACAAAGATGAAAAATATCATGGCGGAAAATCAACGCCTTCGACATCTCTTAGATACGAAACCGGCTCCAAATGTTAATTCATCCGGTGACAACGCCAACACGAAGAAAAAGGGCAAATAGGCAAAATTCGCAATTTAAAATCATTCAATTTTAAGAGTTTGTAATTCAAAACGATCGGATGTATGATTATTCATACAAACGTTTTATCGTTTTAACCTTTTTTTTTCTTCTTTAAAATTCTTTATGAGAACTGTCGCAAATCATTTGTATTTCACATGGTGTTCTGGCCGCCGTTTTATGACTTTCAAAAACCATTTTGTATGCATGCCGAAAAAAATTAGTTTTAAAACATTTTATTATGAATGTAATTTGCCACGCTTAATAACCGAAAAAAATGAATTATTGCCTTTTCCAAGAAGAAGTTTGCATAAATGCGGGTGTGTTTCATCGTCATTGCTCTCTTCATTCAATAGCATCATTTTATTTGTGTATATGTTAACGCTGCATTACCGCATGGGGACAAAAACGTACCTCGACAGTAAAAATAAAAATAAAAATAAAATTCTCTTGAGTCAAACCAAGACAAAAATCACAATATAGCGAAGAATTTCATGAAATACAAGACAATTTCAAATGAATAAAGACAACCGAGCAAATTCCAAGTACTTGTGCTAATTATTTGATTATTTTTATTCGAATCTTTGAAGCAATAAATAAACAATGATCTGATAAAATCTCATGCACTTTATCAGCTTAAGTGAAATAATCTAGTCTATCTCTCTCTCTCGTTGATTAATTACGTATAATTCTGTGAACAGAATTTACGGCGAAAATAATGATAATCACACGTTGAAGTGTGAAAACCAAACATGTGTTTTAAGATTGCTGAGCATCTCAGCATTTCGTAAGGCACGGATATATCCGAGCATATCGACGACGCATACTGTATAATACAGTGGCGTGTGTTGCTACGTGCAGCCGCAATGACTCGACCGGAATGTGTATGTTGTTTCTGCGTGCAGCCACATCAACTGAACACACTTCGTTCGAGTCGTTGCGGCTGCACGTAGCAACACACGCCACTGTATTATACAGTATTCGTCGTCGATATGCTCGGATATATCCGTGCCTTACGAAATGCTGAGATGCTCAGCAATCTTGAAACACATGTTTGGTGAAAACAAAGCCAAAATTCCTGGAAATGATGCGAATGACGGAAAAAAGTGACTGATATGCATGGTTCGAGCACATATATATATACTCACTGATCTAGGGTTAATGTTTCGTTCGAAATCAAACAGTTGCGGTATATCCATCTATATTATGCAACGAGCCATTCAACACATTCGAGACATGAAATGTGAAGAGAGAAGAAAAACAAAATCGGTTGGTGTGAATTTTAAATTTTGTTCATATTTTTCTTTTGATCGGATATTCGTACGAGGAGAAGAGAAAAAAATGCAACACATATCATTTCGTTGCATCGTTCATTCTTTTGCACATGTTCTGTGTGGTGTACGTATACGAATTTTCTGGATTGAAGAGGACCAAAGGCGAAAAATACAGCGAGAGAGAAAAATCAAAATGCTGCATGTGTCGAAGAGTATGCGTTTTTCTCTTCTTTCTTTCATTTCTTCGGCATCAGAACAGGCAATCGAAAAACGTACAACAAAAAAGGCCAAGAATAACAGTGCAAAACGGCCGAATTATGAAGGAATGACTGAACGAATGGATGAAGGAAAACACCATATAAATGCACATCGACAGACACATGCGAGCATATCGAACATAGTTTCCATTGAATTGAAGTACGTTTTGGATTCATACACACAGAGCAGAAGAACCAAATAATGTAAGGCATGTACTATATCATTTTTCGTAGCTGCGTTCACTACCTAAGCAAAGTATCGACAACACAACACGTACACGAGATGGTCAATACATTTTCTGTTTATTTCGGCGGCGGTGTGGTTAGAGAGTGTAGGAGCGAACGAGAGAGAGAGAGCATAAAAATGTTCAACGATGATCGACAACAAACACACAAATACATGACGTCGGCGACACACAGAACTGAAACAAAAACACAAAGCACAAACTCACGCACACCAGCTCAACAAGTATACATTGTCCATCGTTTCTTCTTTGGTTGTTAAGTCGAATGCTTATTTTGATTTTGTTTTTTGCTTTTTCTATTCATTCTTTACTTCGTTTTGTTTTGTTTGAGTTGCCTTTGTAAGGCAATGCATCGAAACACACAGAGCGACCGCTGTGCGTGGTGCACATCGAGGTGCAGATGTGTGCGTGGGTCGATGCATATGTATTTGGTTGAAATGCCGAAACTCAAACAGAACATCGATCTCAGTAGTGTGGTGTTTCGTTGTCTTCGTTTCGTTTCGTTCTCGGATCATCGGCGTTTATGTGTGTTGGTGCGGTTCAGTGTGAGTGAACGAGCGTGTGTGTGTATGTATACACAAAACCTGTGTTGCTTTACGAATGTTTACTATATGTCCAAGCAAAAATATTCGATTTACTCAGTTTAAGCTGAGACTTGGTGGTGAAACGTCACGCTGTTCCGTTTCGCTGTTTCAAAGAAGAAGCAAAAAGAAAGTATCCAAGTGTCTGTTCACCGTGTCACATTGATTCAAATCAAAATCATTGTTTTGAGTTTTGTTCTCTGTTTCATTTGTTTAGCGTTCGGTTGAAACGCTTTTGTTATCGCTATAAATCTCGTATTTTGACATTTATGACGGGATTCTCGTGTTCATTGCGTATAATATCAGTTTTGTTTTCTGCCTCGTAATTTTGTCTACACGAAAATATCTCTCCGAGAGGAAGAGCAACAGCATCAGTAACAGCGACAACAACAGTTGGAGAAAAGAAAACAAATCGCAATATTTATTCAGTTTGATATCCGAGTTAATCAAATGTGCCTTCTTAATAGTGCTGAACACATATTTCATTAATTCTCGCCGAGCGATACAAATTTCTTTTTTTTATCGAAATTTCGTTGTGAGAGAAATATTGATGTGAAAATCGCATGTGCGATAGATACATTTACTGGCTAAAAATCGTGGTTGAAAATTGGACGTCGAAACAAAAACAACAAACACACTGTGTATTTTGAGCTATTTTGATTTATCTAAAAATAAACGAACCCAAAAGTGTGAGAAAAAAAAGAGAGCAAGCGAAAGAAAGAAAAGAGAAGGAAAAACTGTTTCACAGTCGGAAAATTAAATTAAGACATAACAAGCAAAGGAAAGAAGAATACATACGTAAAACGGACTATCGACGGCGACGATTCGATTCGCTGCGGCATTTTTGCGCCTCTGACATCGGATAAATAAATAAAAGAGCGCGCGCGCGGGCCAGAAATATCAAGTCAATGAGAATTTTGATTAAAAATTCATCATTCAACGAGGAAATTGAATAAACAAATCATCGTGAATATTGAGAATATGTGAATGTGACTTTATGAGGTGGTTGTTGCTTCTTTTTGTTTCTACGTTTTGGAAAAATATTTTGAATTGAACAAGAAACCAAGTGGCAATTTAGTCGACGTGACGTTTTTGTGCGCGAAACGTCGTTTTTTCTGTGGGCTTCGTACACTCGCTGCGCTCGTTCTGTGTGAAAATGTGAACTTTTTTTACTTATACATTGTAAATACGCGATCAGATTAGACAAAGTTTCTCTTGTTGTCTGAGTGAGACTTTTTGAAAATGTGTATAGCTGTGGAATTTAATTGAAAACACTGAACTGAACTGATTCTGGCTCAAGATTAATCTTTTAGTCATCGTGGATTAATGAATTTATGTGTTCGTCTGATGACTACTGTTTGTTCATTGTAAATGTTCGATATTATACATTCGTTTCGTCGTGTGTCGTCTCTTCTCTCTCATCTTTGCACACATTTGTCAGAGTCGCACTCATTCATTGTGTGTTTGCTCATGGCTAAATTTATTGTTTAAATAGTCTCAGCCAGCTGCATTAGCAATTCAAAACAACTCGACCACGAGACACACATTCAGCGACATACGGATATGTGTTAAACATTTTTCAGCACATGCATTGATGAATCTATTTGTGTTTTGTTGTAAAAAAAAACGTTTGAATTCGAAACCGAGAGACTTGGTGACCGTACACCGAAGAAGCAGCAGCAGCAGCAGCAGCAGCAAAAAAAAAACAAATATCAATTGCCAAGATAATTATGTAAGGACAAAGTTCGTAACGAAATAAACCAAAATATCAAACGGAACATTCACTCATTCTGACCAGAGTCGGAGAGTCCAATAAAACGTGATAGAAAGACATTTTTTCGTGTTGACAGGAATTTCGATCATCAAACCACAACAACATCAACGACAAAATATTTCTTCGCGCACGCTAAATATTTCTACAGTGATGTACAAAATCCTACAAGTAAATAAATAAATCAACGCCACTGTTTAAATAAATAGTCATTTTCATCGGTTTTAACATTCACGGTGTGGATGTCGCTCAACGAATATCTATAAAAACTGCGAATTAAAACGGTTTTCTCGTCGCTGAAGCAGCAGAATTGTGTGTTGTGTGGCGGAAACATTGAATGCGAATTTGATATTCGCAAACGGAAGAAGTCCAACTGAAATCAGCAGATATTTTGTTATCGATATGCGAAAAACGTGAGCTTTCAACGAAACAAAGAAAGTCAACCACGGATCCTGGTTTTATTTTTCGATATATGTAAACCTGAGAAAGCGAAAACTGATTTAAGCGTGTAGATTGTGATAATAAATCTGCATTGCATTCAATATTATTTGAGAGACGAAAAGAAGTTGAATACACTTTTGGAAATAGCTCGTGAAACCGTCCTAAGACAAGAGCGGATCCAGAGTAAAACGAAAACAACAGCACACACATACACATAATCAGAAAGAATAAGAAGAGGCTCATTGAGTGAGATTCAGCGAGAGAACCAAGTTGCAGCACCAGCAGCCACAGCATAATCAGCCTGCAGACATGGCGCCGAGATCAAGAAAGAAAAAGGCACATGGTAAATACTAAATAATAAATTTCCAACAAACTCACTAACACCAACCCGATTTTCTACACTTATAAACAACAACAACACCAAGTGAGAGAGACTATGATCGAGTCCAGCTAACTAAACGAACCAAAGAAATATACGGGAAAAAAGCAACAACAACAACACAACGTATATAAAGCAAACGGTCGATCGAACAGAGTCTCAAGAACGTAAAGGAGACACAACACACACACACACACACACATCAAACACAAACAAACCCAAAATCCCAGATGAGAATATGTGAGCTGAGTTCTCTCGGTGCTGTTCCGTGTGTTTTATGTCTGTTTTCTTTTCTCTTTTCCATTACGTTGTTGTGTTGTTTTTTTCTCGTCTTCCCTACATATTCTGTTGCTCGGTGAAGATCATCGTTGGGTAATCGACATGCACTCCATACGAATATCGTACATGTTTTCTCTTTTTCATCGATTCGGGTGCATCTCTTGATCAGTCAGTTCAATACACACATGTATGCATGGTTCTGGCCTTCTTATTTCTCTTCGCTTTTTTTCGTCTTACTCTCTGTCTTTTTTTATTGTTGTTATTATGCTTATTTTTCATTCGTTTTTCCACAGTTAGTTACGTTGTTGTTCTCTTTCTCGATGCTTTTAATTTCTTGTTTTCCTTTTGTTTTGTTCGAAATCTTCGTTTCGGTTCTCCAGTTCAAAAATCTTCCGAACATACCATTTTTACAAAGAACTTAAAAATAACAAAGATTTTTTACGTCGCCTTCTCTGTCTCCCTCTCTCGTTCATTTCGATGTGCAGCACCAAACTGACCGGCGTATTTATGAGGGTATTTCATCGAATACGGACTGAATTTATGTAACAATTTTTCGAATTTTTTCAAATCGAACATTTATTAATATTTAATGTGTCCGATGCGACCGAACGATGCTCAACTTACCTTTTGTTCTTCCAAATTAAAATGCGTACACATTACTCTTAGATGCTCGTTTCTTTATGATATAGAATGATTCAGATAAATATTTGCCGTTATCGTTGAAATCAGCTAATTCACGGGCTATAGATAAATGTAGAGAAAATCGCCCACGTCCATAGGAAAAAAAATGGGAAAAATTAGGAATTTTTGGCGATTAAATACCATATGCTAATATAAAAAAAAACTTATCTCTAATGCCTTTTTGACAGTCAACGAGCTATTTCCAACGTTGACTCTACGGTCTTCATTAAAAACAGAATCAGCCTGCTGAAATGCCATAAATGATGTTTTGGAACATTTGGCATTTCGACAATTTACCAAAACAAATAAACCATACGAAGACGGAAAAACTCGACTCGAGAGAGAAAATGAAACATACGCATACACACACAAAAATGAAATTCAGTTTTATTGAAAAATCTTCTAACAACATCCAAGAACAACAAGTGAAGAGTGGAAGACATAGAAGAAAAAAAAATAGTCTGGCACATATTTTGACCGTTTTGTCGTCATGTTTCTGTTTTATCATCCTTTTTTTTATGATCATTTAGCAAAACATATGCTGCTTTCTGTTCCCTCTCTCGTTAAAATTCAATGTGATGCGATCGGTAGACGATTGTACATTCAATCACATTATGGATTCCAGCGTTGTGGTATTTCATAAAATATTTTGATTCTTGTTCGATATGCTGACGTTTGCAAACGCGCAGAATCATAAATGTTATCGTTCAGAGATCAGTTGAACGTCACTTTACTCTATGGCCAAAATGGCGATTTTGATGGTGTCACTGCCTCGGCACACACCAATCCAAGGGGGTTTCATGATACACATTTTATCATCATCGACTATGTCATCGTCGATATATACAAATTTAATGATTTTCGTTGTTAACGATACGCGATTTTGAACATAGCTTTTGTCTTCGTTGCCATCGCTTGTGTATCACTCATGTTAACATCTCGATGGTTGCTGTTTTTTTGTCATTTACCTTCGTTCCGTTTATAGTCATTGAATCGTTATAATTGGCAACGACACCGAAAATAGTATACAAAATTCGGGTTTGCGTACCATACGCTCAACAATGCATTTGATCGTTTTCTATTTCATGCTATTGTTGGATAATCGGTATTAATCGAACCATTATACTCATCTTCATCGGAATGCAACGAATCACATTTAACATACTTGGGCTTTTGTTATCCAAAAATAAAACTCAAAAATTTATCGGCAAAAATCAATTTTCGTACTTGGACTCATTTCGATATGTATCCATTGTTAAAATAGTAAGTTATTTTGTTATGTTGGTGTTAAAACAGCATTTTATGGCTAAAATGACCAAAATGGCCATTTTCACACTTAAAGTGAGGCGAGCAAAAGCCGAACCGTGCTGTCATAACTTATCAATAAAATTGATAAGCTATCGAAAGGAAATGCCTTCCAATGTGTCAGCACGAAAACCATCAACTTTATAGTTTCTGGCCATTTTTCAGTTGTGGCTCTCTTGTTCATTCGCTCCGGTGTCTCTTCGTTTCAAGCCAATCGACACTTCATGCAAATTCCACATGGTACCATTGTGGTGAGATATTCAAATTTTTCGAAATAAATATAAAAACAGAAACCGATTATGAGTTGCTGTGTGTGTTTTCATTGTGAGAGTTTGTATTTTGCTGTGCTCGCCTGGGCGTATTAGAATAAAATCGAATTTAATATCAAAGAGAGATAGAGAGAGATAGAGAGAGAGAGAAGAGTTGGGAGAGAAGAAAAAAAAATTACTATGCGGATGTCGTGGACAAATTCTGATTTATGCTTCGATTTCGATGTTTAATCGAATTAAGCTCAAATTGGATTTTGTTCGTCGCGTTGTTGGAATACATCATTTCGACATTGTGAGTTCGACTTATATACATTCTCTACTCGCTGTGGTATTTATAATTTATGTGGTCATATGACGATCTGGTTTCGTGGAGTGTGTGCTCATCACACATCGAAACCCAACAATGATGTCTCGCACCGCTGATGATGAATGCAAATTCAATTTAATTTCAAAAATACGATCATCATTGCAAACAAACACTTCAAAAATAGGCGAATCGGGGCGAGCTGCACATTTAACGGGATTCCCATTTGAAATGGCATCAAAATATAGCGATAAAATGTTTAATTCAATTCTTTTTCGGAACACATTAAAATAACCTGATAAAAATTCACATTTTATCCCATTTGCCAGCGGCAATAAACGTGGCTCTGTGTGTTTTAACATAAAAATTGCCCGAAAAGCTGACATCTGGTTTCAGCAAATACACCAATTCAATAACCATTATGGGGTACGGCAATGGAATTGAATCGCACACATATACAAAACATTAGCAAGAATCGTCAGCCGGTCGGTCAGTCGTTCTTTCGATCCATGTCTATTGAAGAGTGCTTGAATTTGCATTATAGCGAGGGGAAATAGACACTAAATCGAAATAAATTCAATTTAAATGAATTAATTTGTTATCTGCGCGTTATATATAGAGTTTTTAAAATGAAATCATGTTATCTCTCGGTCGTGCATTTAATAGCGACTCCACACCCATCTGGGTTCTCTATATTCTCGTTATCCATTTTCGTTTTGTGCTCTTGCTCTTCAGTTCGTCGGGAGGCAATCGAGATTTTCATGTATCTAAAATTCCCGGTGCTTCGACGTTAAATGAGGCAAGGCCGACGCGTTTCACACAACAAATCTTACTAAATTCTAATCTTATGATGGATGCATCCATATGATTTTGTCAAGGGCTGATCGTTTTTTCTTTCGAAATGGGATGCCTTGCGTTAATTTTATCGATCGATACTTTCGAATTGCTTTGCGTTAAGCGGATGTAGTTCCTCTGTTGTCGATCATACCGGATCTTACCATTAAAAACAATTCAACTCGCTTTCGCTAAATAACATGCCGATCATAAAATTGTGACCGAAAAACACGCAATGAACTCGAAAAAAGGACGCATTTAAAAATGAGACTCGTTTTTTTCAGTTCGGTTCGTACAATTCAGACACGCATATCGCACTTTTTACATGACATTCCAAAGTATTATTGATTGTCCACGACAGAAGAAAAAAAAATCGTCTGGTTCCAATTTTTTTCTATCCTATTCAATTCGATAAGCGGCTTGAGAAGAGGAAAAACTAATCATCGATCGTTCCATGTTTATATTGAACTGATAAAAACCATCGAATACTCATTGAAAAAAGACCAATCATAAAATCCACGCACTATATTCTGTGTTCAAATGGAACGAAAGGAATTGTTTTCGTATTTTTAAGCTTCATTCGAAAATTTTTATTTCACTGCACCTATTCAAACAATGTATCATTCTGGAATCTAAATCAAATAAATAGCTAAATAAAAAAAAATTGAGAGAAAAACAAAATGCCGACGGTATAAAAACATGTACAGTATACACAGTTCAAGTATATAAAATGAAAACCCTTCAAACGAACAACTTGAAAATGTCACATCAAATAGAAACTTGTTTGGAACCCATTTCACGATCGACCGGAAAAAACAACAACTTTCAGTTTATTTAGTTGATAGTGTACGTATTGTTTTGTCGGTTTTTGTTTTGATTGAATTGTGTTGTTAGATGGTTCGAGTATACAGGTATAGATATGAGGCCGGTATCATTAACGAACACCATACCGCAGCTGCATGTTTCGTTTGCATTTTTATGATCCTTGAAATGATCGCCTCACTTAAGAGCCGAGAAATCGATCGGAAACAAGAACAGAGTTTGTTGAACAGACATAATCAAAGCAACAACAGAACAGAACCAACTAACATTTCACATCGATGAGAATTAATTAATATCGGCTTTAATTTGGTTCGGATTTTTTTTTCCAATTCTGTGTTGATAATTTAATGTCACATAGGATTGATAAACGAAACAAAAAAATGTCACATTCTAATGAACTTGATTCATTGATAAAACCCAATTCGAATGAATGGCATAGTAAACACCCAAACGCGACTACATCAAATCAACCAAATGGAATATTAATTAAGTGGATCTTTTTTTTTCTCCCTATTTGCATCGTTGATGCTGCGGCAGCGGCGGCTGATGTTGTCGTAGATCAAACAATGATTATTCGAAATTTATCCATTTTTCATTCATGAACATGTAATGTCAACATCCAATGCACGATGTGGTTGGATTTATTGAAGGTTCTTTTGAGATTGGTTTTGTTGTTTTTTTTTTGAATCAATTAAAAATGCCACTCTTTATCATTGACGTACACAAAATTTATGGTACGCCTTTATCATATATGAGAATGCACTTAGAGATTGTCATCTAATTGTGTTTTGCTCAATTAATGGAATTTATCAGATTGTGGAAAGATTTTACGTAGCGTTCTCCTCCTCTCTCTCACCAAAAAAATGTTCTTCGTTAATCTTGCACTTGTGATCTTCTCTTCATTTGGGCAGCAAATGTTTCTTTTTTTTATTAAAATGAATGGTTGTTGATGAGGTAACAGCAAAAGAAAAAAAATTAACAACAGATAGAGGGATAAAGGAAGCTTCAAATCGATTTAAAAAGTTTATCATGTAGCAAAGCCAATATGTTCACACATTGCTTTTGGCACACGATGAGCTCATGCCAATTGCACACTTGGCAATATTTACAAATGGAATAAAAAAAAAGAAGTATGCAAACAATAAAAATCAATTAAATCGACGTTCGAGAAGAGAAAAGAACTCAGAGAGGGAGATGGCTGTGTAGGATAAAAACAAGAGAAAAACAAATGTACGCATTACACACAGAACATAAATTTCATTTATATAGATAGAGACGAAGTAACGAAACAGAACTGTGAGCGAAGAGAAAGAGCAACTGAAACTGACGTACGGCTAATAAAAGGCAATAAATAAAATATCGATGGAAGGAAAAACACCAATAAAATTACCAATAAAAAACGAATACGACGACAGTAGAAAATATATTCACTTGAACTGGCCACATTGAGTAGCACACTGACTGTGTCCGTTCGCTCGCTTAAGCTCATTCATTCATTCATTCATTCATTCGCTTCGGTCGCACAGCTCGTACTTATAAATGACAGTAACAACACATAACTGCACATGTGCAATAGAACCAAATTGTTATTATTGTTGCTAAAGTATGTCTTTTTCCCTCTATATAATTTCGAGTCTCTCTATCTGTCCATTCACGCATTTCCATTTGCATACGCTGTGTCGATTTAGCAGCGCGAGATCGAGTGAAGATATTGTCGTCACCGTATTTTTTTGCCTTTTTATCTCATCGCCAACTGGCTATATGTTTTTGTTCCCTTTTCTTGTCACTGCATTGGCATACACATGCCACACGATCTACACCGTGCATTTACATACATAATGAGAGATCGTACATTGAATGGCATATCAATCGCACCTAAATGCATTTCAAACTCATTAACATGAGTGTTAAACGATTTTAAATAGGAAGCACAACAAAAAAAATCGTGTCGCAAATAGAAAGAAATAAGTGTATCAACGTAAATCAGTTACGATTCATTCATCAGTTGATTGCACTACATTATACTGGCATACTATGTGTTATGATCTAGTATTTATTATTGTTTATCATTGTCGTTGTCCCTTTTTTGCATCGCCCTTTTTCCCACTTTTTCGTGCTTTTTCTCATTCTCCTTGTCTTTCTCTCTGTGTCTTGCTCGTTCGGTCTAAAAATAGCCACCATTGTGGGAAATTCATGGGCTGGATCAGAGGCGCAAATAAAACGCAATTGCAAAAATACTTTACTACTGATATTGTGTGCTGATTTAATGAAAGTGTAAGCGCCAAAGTTTGTTAACGTGCACGCGCTCCACACATATGGCTATAATTCGATTTGAATTGGTTGATCGGCGTCAATTGACCCATATTCCAAGTGGATGCTCGACATTTCTGATAATTGCGTATCAATAAATTGCATGAAAACGCGCCTCAACCAACAAATCGCGCTGTTGATTTTATCGCGCGACCAACACAAAGCTACTCGATTCCCAATATCTTCTGAAAGGAATGATACAACACTCATAAATTTACCTATTTTTAATGCAACGACTCATAGAAAAGTTGTGGTCGTTAAAATTAATTGTGCGTATCGTTATGCTCTTTGAAGTTGTGTTCAATTTCAGTTCCTGACTACCCAACCTCTTTTGAGTTTGACGATGTGATCTGTCTGGGGCCGCCGCTTTTGTTAAAGAGGCAAGCATCTTGTGATCGTTGCGATTACGCAGTGCGGTTGCATTTGAAGTGATTTTTCTATCCTCTGAGATGCATACACATAGAGAGAGACTGAAACCGACCATGCCCACGCACTTTATTTGATGTTGTGTTGTTTTAGTTTCGTTCATAGAATGGATTTTCATTCAAAATACTGTACAAGCCCACGCATTACGATGTAATATATTACAACGGGTTGGTGCGTGTGCCAAGCAGCATGAAGTAACAAACTGTCATGCTTGGACACGAGACAAATTATTTTCGCCTCATTTGTACCGCATATGTTTTGTTCGCCGTTCGTATGCATAGCACAACAGAACAACACATCATTCGCAAATCATGCCATTTTTCACCGACACACACACAAAATTTAACCGATGTACACCTTAGATCTTGGCTCAAATAGCGAGCTAGATAGCTAAGGCGGAAAATCATTTGAAATCTCTTTTATTTTTAGATGCACTTTATGAAGAATGCATTCTGTACTCGATACACACACACACACACCTTTTTCACTTTTATTAAATACGTCTGTGATTAATCACATCAAAACACATTTATTCATTTTGTATTAATTTAGCTTCGTCTCTTGTTTTATTTCAGCCAAAACACTTACATGCTACTGCAATGTTTGCCCAGAAGAATCTCCAGACAGCTCAAAATGCGAAACAAGACCCGGCGGATCGTGCTTCGCTTCCGTGCGTGGTATCTACAACAGTACAACCAATGATTATGATGTCGAATACGAATTTGGATGCATGCCACCCGAACAGAGCGGAGGTCTTTTGCAGGTAATGAACGAGAGATTTTTCGTTTGGAAATTGGAAATTTCAGTGCGAAATGAGATCAAAATGATACTTTTTTAATTTTTCATCGAATCAATGAAATCAAATTAATCAATGAATTTTTCTGTCTCTTCACAGTGCCGTGGATCATTGCATTTGGCCGGTCAAAATATCGAATGCTGTGAATCGGGTGATATGTGCAATCAAGACTTGGATTTAGAATTTCACGCTCCGTCCACAACACCATCGCCATCGGATACACCACAATTCGATCAGTTCAGCTACAATCAGTTAGCCCTGCTGTTATCGCTTGGTGTATGTGCGATCCTCTTCTTGGTGGTCGTTTTAGTGATACTCGTCACATATCGTCGCCGTGAAACGAGGCGCAAACAAGCATGTTTACTCGAATCTGGTCACAGTAGCCACCTCTCCCCGTTGAACGATCTGTTCGAACAGAGCAGCGGTTCTGGATCTGGCCTACCTTTGTTAGTACAACGCACTATCGCCAAGCAAATTCAACTGGAAAAGTCAGTCGGACGTGGACGTTAC